TGTGGTTAAAATGTTGAAAAATTCTCGCAGATTCCTGATACAATTAACGGTCATTGTAAAAAGATTATCTGCTTTCTCTATATATTTTATGAAAAATCATTGAACTTCCTCAATTTATACCATATTCGCAGTTAGCTTTTAGTTCTCTCAGTGTGGTAATTTTTTTCTCTCTCAAAAGTGTAAGGCATCGTTGTACCAAAAATGTTTGCTTTGTATTTTAGTTAGCTCACTGACTATTGACGCATGTACTTATAGACTAAAAATACGAGTATTATCTGAGTGTTGATAGTTACGAAATGTATATATGAAATGACACGTAAGGATGGATGGATAATAGTTCATGAAATGGACAGCCGTTAAATGACGCGGTTTGAATCACTATATTAATGGTGAATTCGTTTAAAAAATGTTGAATGGTGTAAATTGGTGAATCACTTGTTGTCATTGCATCGCGCCTATACCTTCAAAAATCGTTTAAGCTATGAAGTCCAAAATTCTGCTGTATCAATGCCGTATGAAAAAAAATACGCAAAAAAATAAAACAGTGGTTGTCGTCACAGAAGTACCATCGCCACCGGTGTTATTTTGCGGTACCGAGAGACCGTAACATAGCCCCGACCAGATGGTGTTTGTGCACGTTTGTGAAAACTATTTTTCCTACTGAGGGCGCAGTAAACGTCCAAATGTCACAAAAAACGTCTCATGGTAGGCATTTATTAACTAATTGCTAATAAGTAATTTTTCAATTTTCATTAATATTTCTACTGTTCTTTATAATATCTCTGAATGATTAATTATTCGATAACGAAATGTACGTTTCGTATCAAATGAATAATACTTGCTATCAGTGTTAGACGCATTTGACTCTCTTGTGACATCATTGTGTTCTCTTTCTATGACAAGAAAGTCAATTCAGATTTAAAAAAAATAATGTCCGAAATCCAGTAAAATAAGAAGTGCATCCTTGTCTAACAACCGGCGCCTGATGAAGTCAGCTCTAGACTTGCTACCCTGTTTTGAAATTGTTAGCGCAAAAAAATTATTTTTTACGAATCAAATACTTTCTTCTTCGTTTTAAGTTTCGGGAATCTTTTAGTAATTCGTACGAGTAATTACACTCGTTGATTCATAAGATAAGCTAAAACAGAGTTTAATCCTGGGATGTTGCCAGCTCTTTTACATCCAAAAGTTTCGAACCGCTTCATCAAAAGAGCAGCTTCTGTAAGACTATGCTTCATGGGCCACCTCCCGAGGGCAAAGCATCTTGACCTGAAATTTTTTTTTCGCGAATTACGGCCATTTTCCTCCAACGAACGGTAAATAAGCAGTCCCGTATCAATAAATTTTTGTGCTAACTTTCATTAGTGCACCAAACAGGGCAGTAATTATCACGCACAGAGTGTTCAAGAGAATGCATCATGAGCTTATTTTCGAATCCATTGCGAAAAAGCATGGGAGAGACCACAGGTCGGCATCTTTGTAAACCTTAAAACGATGGACTTTGGAGCGAGCCCCCTGCTGAAGAAGAAGTCGGTGAGGAGGGGGGGGGGGGAGGAAGAAAAGGCGAAAGAGCGACAGGGAGCCGACTTGGAGGAATATCATTTCTTAAGAACGCATTTAAACATGAACTAATGCGCACTCTGGCGAGCACCTACGGTCGCCTCTCTGGCGCTGTGTGCGTGTGCACACGTGCGCGTGTTATTTTTCTCGATTTTTCTTCCGTCTGTCGCGGCGCTGGCACATTCATAGGACGCGAGGGTCCGAGAGGCTAGGTTGTTTTTCCGAAATTTCATGCGGATCGCAAATCCGTCCTCTCCACCTCCATCTATTTTTCTGCCCCCGTCTCCACCCCTCCTCATGTCCTCATCCCCCTGCTCATTCGATGCTCAACGCCTGAGTTTCCAACGCTCCTACTTTTTTTTCTACTTTCTTTCTTTCGTATTTTCTCGTTTCCGATGCACTTGTTCTTGTTTTGCATTCGAATTCAAATACCATTTTTTAATATAAATTTCCGCATCGGTTGCCGTCGTATTTATTGTTATTATTGTAATAAGAGTACTACAGAAATTATTTGTCATGTACCAAGACCTATTCAAATTTCCATGTGATTTTTTCAGATGTTACATGAATAATCCATTTCAAATTCAACGAATTGGAGCTGTGCATTAAACAATTAATTGAGTAAGGTATATTCATTAAAATCAAAAACTCAATTCACGTGTGAAATTCTGACGAGTTTGCGTCCACGTAGATTTTGTATAGGTAATGTACGCTGCGTGATTTGCAGTTTATTGACAAATCATTGCAGCTGATAATATATTATAGTGTCCCAAGTGTACATCATAACTTTCAAAGGCACGTAGATATAGGGAGCCTAAGATGTGTCTGCAATGAAAACAAAAACCGAGGATACACAACAAACCGAGAGGGCATGTACTTTAAGACGAAATGAAGCTCTACCCAAAGTTTGATGCTTACTTCTTTAGCACGCAAGTTTTTATAAACGAGTTACTTCGAAGTTCAGTTCTCGGCATGGGTTTTTATGAGGAGCATATAAACATTTGCCGTTTTCTTAGAAATAATATCAAAAATACGAGGTATGAAAAAAAAAAGAAAAAAAATATAAACACAAAGAAGCATTTTTAGCATTGAATTCATTGGTACTTTCAAATACAATTGTAACAAGCATTAAAGTAATCACTCACTGTTCAAAGGCATTCAGAAGAAAACGCAAACAAAACACCTATTGCTCGTAGCCTAAAGCCGGTTTAAACATGTACAGTACGTCTATACACGGGACTTTGTACATAAATAGATCGAAAAAATTCTTTTGTATCATACGATGTCTTACTATTGATATGCTTACTGGTACGTTTTGAATATACTGATGTATGTACGTCACATGTGCATTTACATAAAATGTACTAGATTCACGTTAATGATATAATGTCTAAAAAGTTGAAAACTTTCCAATGGGAAGCTTAAATGAGGACATTAATCCTATTTTAAAATAGACGTAGAAAGAGAGATAAATGAAAATACATAAAAACTACTGTGCTAGAAGTTCAAGCTGTTAGCACTACAGGATCTTGGGGATTTTTTCACTCTTGGCAACAACCTCATTTCTACTGTGCTAAAAAATAATTTATTATCCTTGATGCCATTAGCACTCACTGCCCACAAAAGTAATCCTAGATATCATTGTAAATCCTAGAAAAAAAAGTGGGGTACAGGCAGGCGGTGCATTTCATCGAGCTTAGTAATAAATACTTTTGGAATAAACTTTTGACTATTCGAAACAGAGAGAAAGCAAATTAAAAAAATATTTCAAAATTTTGTATGTGGTGATAAGGCTGAATACAAACGTAACTGCGTTATCTTCTTTATTTTTACGTTGGTTGTCTCTGTAAATGAAAGCACTGCAATATTACTTTATATATAATGTTATATTTATGACAAAAAAAGTTCTTTTTCAATAGTAATTATAACTGAACATAAATGAGAAATTCATAGAAAAGTTTAAAAAGAGGAAAATACAAATTGACAACGACCTGTAAGAATTATTGTTTACAACAAAATTAAAATTGCTTCCCATACATTGTTGACAAACATTTAAAAACAATAATAGTAGTATCAATGATAATAATAATAGTAATAACCATAAAATCCAATGAAATGGGTTTGGGGTTTACGTAAATTTTGGCGTAAAGTACAGTGTCGTCGCCAAACATATCTATCATCGATAGATTTTTAAGGAGATGTTCAATTTGTTTACATTTTCTATAAGGCAAACAAGCGCCAACAACAGCATACACGCATACACTGGCACGCTTCGGATCAAGTCACCGTGCACATATCTTCTGAGCATACTTTGACGTATGTATACAATGTACAGGTGTAATATACATATTTTAATGAAGCGGGCTGACTTGACCCGAAGCCCGCACAAGTGCGCGCAGCGCCTTTACAATGCAAGTACTGCCTGTTAGTACTTTCCGAGGTACTTTCTGTACCTGGTATACTTAGGAAAAAATTGGAGAGAGTACACGTTAACGATGACTAATTGGGTCTTGTCCCTTTCCACTTACGACACCCAAGATATCGTATACTCGTGTCGAAAGTAAAAATGTGATTTAAGGTGATGGAGCATTCCCGGACAAAGACCACGTACCCTTGCTACCAAGTTTATGTTTTTTAATATATCGCGCCCCTTTCTCCTTTTTTCAGCTTTGTTTTTTTTTGTTTTTATTTGTTTATCGAGGAAAATTGACGCGAAGTTGTAAGGCCATCATTCCATTTGTTTTTCTTGCGACGAATTTTATCCGCTAACAGCATTGTATACGCATCTACTTTGGCGTGCTGTTACAAAAATTTTTCGCAGAGAACTCAACCATACCTCAGCGCGCACTGCTTCACAGCTTGACGTAGCTCTCTAATCGAAATGTAATGATGATTTAGATGATGATTATGAGAATGTTTATAATATGAACGATTAAAATAGTAATAATAATAATTTTTATAACAATAGGGATAAGGCAATGATAACAATAGCAGTAGCAACCTCAGAGAGAGAATAATAAGATACCAACTCCGGGAATGGCTGTCTTATCGAATTTACGCACATAAAGGCTAATTGATTCCTAATATATTTCAAAACTTATGAGCACGCACGCGTTACTTCGTGCGTACAATATTAGCTAAAGAATTTAGATAATTGTATAACAATCTGACGATTCGATCTAATTCCTGAGAATCGATGAAGGCACGCCGAGCAATTATTTCATCAGCTGTAACGTTGTAAAAGAAAAAGAAAAAAAAAATGACAGCAACGGAAGGGGATTAAGGTCGCGAGCCTTGCGTTTCGCGACACTGGCGAAACTATACGCGTGCGCAACGCTCTCTCTCTCTCTCTCCCCTTCTCAGTTTCGCGACAATAACGGAATAGGGTACGACTGATGGGCGAGGAGCGCATTGTGTAGAAAATAGGGATAGGTACCAACCTTGCGCCAATTCGGATCCATGGGAAAATTATTAGGCGAATCAACGTCCAAACTCTTGTGGCAGGAGTCCTCCTCGTCCTCCGGCCAGTGCTCGGGTGACTGGGAAGTCTCCCATCCGAGATTGTGATCCGAGCTCGGATGATGCATGGCACTGTCTGCTTCCGCCTCCTCGTCCCTAACAATAGTCATTAATAGTCCAATTCCTCGCTCGCGAAACAATCAGCGCACTCGCGGCTCACCTCACTCTTCACTTTCGACGCGGTGAACGTTTGTTAATCCTCTATTTTACCGGGCGCTATACACAGCCTGCACAGGTTCTTATGATCCCTCACGGCACTCGAAAGCAGCTGATCGATGTCACGCTAGTTCCGCCAACTGAAGCGATGTGCGCTATACCGGCACTAATCAAGACGAAAGCATGACGACGTCCAACGAGTGCCCGCCTCTCGTATTATATAGCCGAGCAAGCTGCCTGCCGCAGCCAATGGTCTACCAGTGGCGCCACCCCTCCCCTGCTCTCGCCTATCAATTATTATTGGTATCAACAACGTGGAGCGGGAGGAGAGAGCGGCCGATCGGCATTGTACGGGAGAGCCAAATACCTCGAGTGTAAGCTGCACGCACGCACCGCTCGTAGCACTCGGCACGTGTGTTTTTACATTGACCGGGATCAATCGACACTGAACTGGCTATCCCTCTCATCTCGGGATCCTATACGAGCCCCCGGGGACTCAGTTTCGGAGCGCGGCGGCGAGCCTCTTCGGCACTACTCGGGATGTCATGTATCCATATATATATACATCCATGCGTGTGCATATACGAACACAGACGTCTCGATGCTTCCTATCCCGGTGATGCACGTTATTCCCTCCTCGTCCTCTACTTTCTTCTATGCTTCTTCTCTTCCCCCCCCCTCTCTCTCTCGCTCACTGGCAAGGGTAAAATAAGTAGGTATAGGTCGAGCCGGCGGATAGATCCCCACCAAGAGTGAAATCCCCTTCCTCTCTCTTCGCACCCATTGGTCTCGCTGGATGGCACTTGCCGTCTCAGGCTCTCTCTCTCTTCCTCCCGCGCTCTGATGCGCTTTTCCAGCCACTCCTGATAATGTATACATTATAGGCAGGTACACACATATATACAGTTTCTTTCGTTCCAAAGACACTATACATATGTACCTACTCCCACCTCTCATCAGGTATGTATACCTTTACCAAAGGTGACACTTGTATACGATACATGCTACATTACTTAATATACAACATTATCCGTTTGTTTGCGTCATGAATTTTCCTTACACTTATTGCTACTTACTTTTGGCATAAGTACGGCTGATGGGGCGAGTGGACACAAACCTGAAAATTTCGTAAGGAAATTCGGGTGCGCGCATGCGCTCATGCAGGATCTATGATCGTATCCTGGTACGTATTATATACTATGACGCAGGGATATATATCATGTTTGTGCGCCCTAGTCTGGGAGCGTCTGGCGCCCTTATTCGGTGCATATAGCGACTCTGATATTGTAGTCTTCGTCTATGCTCGACGTATATATCTATCCATCTTTCCAGACAACTCCTCGCGGGGGGTCCGCACAACTCCGCTAGCATGACTGCTCGGGATCTGCGCACTTTGCATCCTCGCTGTATACCTGCATAGACCAGACGGCGGGAACCAAAAAAAAGAAAACAAAATTGCATTTCTCCAGCAAAAGCGAGGTTTCGGTAGATTTCCATGTAGTTGTGTCATTGAACAACATCACCTGTACAGTGGAGGCCGTTTAATTCGTTGAGCGGGAAGAATAAAATTGACTAATGAAAGAGGTTATGTGATTGAATCAGCTCATGGGAATTAAATGTTTGAATTTCTCGCTCAACGAAATAAACGGCCTCCACTTTACAAATCAACCGTGAATCGTGAGCTTAATTTTTTTAGCCAACAAATCACATCGCAATATCATTGTTTGCCTAGTGACTTCACTCTATTGCACTTTCCAATGCAATGGATCTTTGTAATTACTTTTTCCACTTCTAACCTCAAAATGGCACTTTTGCCGCTTGATTTTGGGTTCTCAGGCGGAAAAAAAACCTCGACACAGCCCTCGCTTTCGGCTCGTGCCGTAAACCTCTCGGTTCGTACATCGAAGTCTTTGCAAACTCGTACGTAATATACGTTGTTTTCTCACTTAGTTACCAAAAAAATGAGATTTGAATAAAACTTTGAAACCTTAATGTTTATCAGCACCCGGCGTTCGAATTTGAAAAAGGCACCATATGTTTGATATGGAATGTGTCACAGAAAAAAAAATCCTAGAACCGTGAAATATTTAGAATCCGTTTATAAATATTCAAAAGTACTCCGACTGTCAGTAAGAAAGATTATTAACTTTTTAAGTAATAAGAGATTCAAGTTTGTTTCTGGCCGTATTTCCAATATGTGCCATGATCTATCTGATTCTTCATCGATACCACGGGTAACGTGAAATCTAGGACATTTCTTAACCTCCGAACGTGGTGCGCATTCTGTTTTTTTTTATCAATTCTGCACATAGAAAAGGGATTTTCGTTCTGCTTCGCGCAGGATTTATAAAAAATAGAATACGCACCACGTTCGGAGGTTAAGAAATGCATTAGATTTCACGTTAACCACCCTCGGCTTCTCCTCGGGCGTTTATTTACGTGAAATCTAAGACATTCTTAACCTCACTCACTGTGTGCATAATATACTATTATTTGGGCGCGTTTGGGATAGCGTGATGCATTGAGATGTCAAATTGAATTATTAAATTTCATCTTTTACACGCAAACGATTGACATGCCTTTGTAGAGTTTTGGTTTCCAAAATTATTTTGAAAGATAAAACGCAATTTCCTGTTGACGTTACAAGATAACTTTAACCATAAAAAGCTATTGCTTTTGTTCTAATTGGAAAGAGGGAGCTGAATTGACTTTACGGACTCATGTTTCATTCATAAATTTTCACTTTTTACAACTGGAAGAAAAGAACGGCTTTTTGATTCTTTTCGCACCATTGGAACTTGAAGTTAAGTACACGTATGAAAACTACTTTTATACATTTTTAAAAAAGAAAAATGAAAATTTTTTCAAAGAGTCTTATGCTGTGGAAGTAGTGGTCGCCAAATCTGATAGATCTATCAGCAAGAAATGCTGTCTTAACTGCACGCAATTAAATTTGAGATCTAAAATTTGAACGCTTTGTATTCTATACTGAGGTCGAGGATGTTACAGGAATTTATCGATTTTTTTCATCACAACGAGCCAGTGCTACAAGCTTGGAAATTCGTAAAGTCAGTTTCCCCAAAGTGAAAACTAAGAGCCCGCAGTGCTTTCGACTGAAGTAGGTATGTTCTCGGAAGCGTTCGGTTATCGATTCGATACTTGACGGGTTTAACATATGCAGCTATTACGTAAACGGTATACGTACAAGGGCCAGGTTTAATTTTCACTTGGTGTGTCACCACCCCGACTTTCTTTTCACGCCAACGGTGCAACTTTAACATTAATGATCTCATTTTATTTCCTTTTTCTAAAGTAAAAAAATTAAAAATGTTGACATGAAAAAACTGACGCTAATTGGCTATTAGTTTGTTAAGTTGATTTATTATGAATTTATAACAAACTTTCATGTGATTTGGTTACACGTTTCAGAGATGCTTATCTACTAAACGTATGAGAAATAAGTAAAAGCTATCGAGCCGGCTAAACTTCTAGAAACCTCCACATCGTCGTTCTTTGTGTACTTTTTCCAACAATATTCATGATTAGATACATCATACAAACGTGCAATTAGAATTATACACGGTGCTCATACGAAGATGACTAAAAACCGAGTGTCAACAATGCAACTATAAAATGAATACAATTTTGATTTTGAAATGAAAACCTTATGCTGCCTAGGTATGGACTTATTCGGCAGCCATTTGTACTCATGACAAATGAATTATGGTCTACAGACAATAACATTTTCGGCCATTTTAAATTTTTTACTCTCGTCAATGAATGAAAAATAAAACAAAACAATGGCCAGGACTCATATGCTGGAGAGGCACAGTTTTTTGTCAGTTTAGATGAATCCTGTGACAAATTAACGTGCAATTATCATTTATTGTTAACACCATCCGTCGTTCAACATCTGTTGTTAAGCAGGAGGTTTATCATGATATGCGATTTCTCGCATAGTCATGTATAAGTTTCGAGACGACATTTAAGGTACAGCTAATGTTGAGTAGGTTAGGTTTACGTCATGTTACGTTAACTTTTTGATTTATCGCATATCGTGATGAGGCTCTTTAACGCTATAGATTCTGTAACTATTATAAAAATTCTTAATCACCAATATAGTACATAGCAGAAGCGAATGAAATTCAGTTTTTAGTGTATCTGACCGTTACAACATGCAAGGGTTATTTTGCTCAAATTTGTTCTGACAGCGTGAGAGATACGCACACAAGCATCATGCCGCATATTTTTTTTAACAAAGCAGAATGTTAGTACTATCTTGCAACAGTAGTGGCACGGTACTATAAGACTTGAATAAACTGTAACGAATATTTTTCTTTAGTATTACGTTGCATGTACCAGAGTATGCTACGATCACTTTGCAAATAGATACCACTGGAGTTGTAGTAGTCCTCATGAGCACATCGAATACGTGAAATCCAATACAATACAATCTGAACTTTAAAAAATCTTTGTTAGTTTGGTATAAGTAACAATTAACATTAACGCTACCAAGATTTCTTCAATTACGGTTATGATTCCATGTCAGAAGAGATACAGTAGAATAGCCCGTGAAAATGGTAATAATTACACATCCATAATCTACATAAATGAATTGGCTTGATAAAATTCATTTCATAATTTTTGTACTGTATGCAGAAATGATTTTCTTTGTGACGTAGTTACACTCGCACAATTTTCGGTAGATATATACCACGATGTAAAAATACAAGGTGTGGCGTTCCGAGGTCTCATTTTCGTGCTGTTCTTCGCCTCCCATCCTGACGCCATATTTGAGGGAGATGTGATTACTACAGCGCCGAAGAGCCGGTACAATGAAACGAAGTGGCCAAAGTTGAAACTAAAATCTATCCCCCGTATCACCTCGAAGTGAGACATATATATATATATATATATATATATATATAGACATACGTATGAATATACATGTACGTCAATTGATGAATGATTACCTATTTAGTCAGTTTTTCTGTGTGAATATTCACGAATTAAGTGCGTTTGGTCACTGAAACAACTGGAATGAAAATATTGAAATAAAAAACATATATTGTTTTACGAGTTTCCTGACGCTTGGTATTTTAAAAGCTTTTGAAATTCGCAGACGGACGTGGCGGCGCGATGGAAGCGTTCCTGATTGGTCAATCAAAAGGGATGCGCAACGCTTTA